GCGGGGAGGACAGTGAGAAGGAGGAGGAGGAGGAGGAGGAAGAAGAGGAGGAGGAGGAGGAGGAGAAGGATAATTAGGAGGAGGAAAAGGAAAATAAGGAGGACGGGCCCAAGATGCTCCACTGTCAGACCCCGTGGAAAGCGATTGCCCCCATTTTGCTGTGATCGCCTGTCTTTCGTGTAGAGCTGCAAGTTCCCGCAAGCACAAGAGCATCCTTCAGCCATGCGGAAGTCCTGCGGCCCATTGCCATCGCACCAACAAGGCTTTCAAGGTGCCAAGATGGCGACAACGGTCGTTGCGGTCGAGTAAGGTGGCGCACAGACGTGGGCCGCCTTATGCATCGATGAGAGGAGGGAAGCACTGAATCGGAGACGACGACAAGGGCCCCCTAGCGAATCCGCGCAACCGCGCACGCGCCTGGCACCGGGGGCGCCAATGCATCGAAGGAAGGCGCCTGAAGGCAGGACCGAAACGAGCTGCGTGCAACAAATTTCGTACCCTCTCCCCTTCCCCATCCCCTCTCGTCCGGACCGAGGGGAACACCATGCCCTCCCCTCGCTCAAATCGACGGCGCGCGCACTGGGCGAGTCGGCCACACGCAGGAATGAACAAAGGGAAGAGTGACCCGAGTAGCGCGCGACTTTCGGGGGCCGCGGGGGGTGGGGTGGGGTGGGGAGCGAAGCCGAATGCACACGCCGTTGATATCGCATCGCGCTCAGCCATCTGGGGGCCCTAGATGTGCCCGCACCAGAGGTCACTCTGGTGAAAGGTCACACATACGTGTAGCCAAGCGAGGACTGCTTCCTGATGGCGTTCAGGTGGTCTGGAAATCATGCAAGGGTTCACACAGGGAATGGTGCTGCGTCACATTCGCTGAGCCCCCTGGCCTGCTCCTGGCTGGTGTCGGCCCCTACTGATGACCGGAAGGTTCCAGTGGGTCTCTCGCTACACTGCCTACCTTACGGTACCTGGACCTCGGGTTCGGCAAGTGTGGCTCTGTACGCTCGTTGGCCGACGTTCTCCTGCACGGACTTCGCTTTCGACAAGTGTTACAAGTTTTACTGCCGTTTGCAGTCTTGTCGGTGATGAGGTTGCCCCTTTTCACTCTTGCGCCGACACAATGTTTTGGCATTTGTGTCGCCTACTTCACGGATGTCGTCTGGGTGTGCCTGTTGGTCTAGTTCGTCTCTGATGGTGCTGTTTGCCGGACTCACACCGAGCGATCGACCTCTGCGTGTTTATGGTCGCGCCGCCACGAAATTGTGGCTGCGCTTACTTGCTGGTCGCCACCGGGATTTCCAACGCCACCGGGTTTGGGAGTATCGGTTCTGGCTCTCCTTCTGAGTGGCTGCCCGCTCGCTCGCTTCGCTTGCCTTTCTTTTCCTGCTGCCTAGTCGCGGCCCGACTAGTGTTCGGACGGCGTTCGACCCGCCTCGCGAGCTTCTTGACCAAAAGTAGCCGAGCGAGGGGGGCTTCGTACTGAGAGAACATGGGGAAGACCACCCAGGCCTCCCCCTGCGCGAGGGGTAGCTTCAGCTTTCGAGCCGAAGCCAACCCTGGTTGAAATGGCCCTGGCTCGCCGTTGAAGGCGGCCAAATTCTTTGAGAGTAAAGAGTGCGGATCTAGCCGTGGCGACGAGAATCTGCACGGCCGAAGCCTTGAAATATTCTGCATACGGCAAGCCCCATGACATAATCACATCCTCCTCGAACATGGGACCCTCCGCCAGCCAAACCGCAGCACATTCGAGGGTACCCTCCCCCAGGATGCACAATAACATCCAACAAACACGAATGACATTAGGCTGCCCTCCCCGTACCGACCTCGATCTTAGGCCTCGGTCCGACCGTAGGGCCTCCCTCCCTTAGATTGGCCATGCCACCCAACCTGGCGCATCGCGCCCCGCGATGCGCGATCATCTTTGCACTCTCGAGCCGCCCGCTTGGACAAGGGCCGCCGGGCCGCCGCTCTGGCTCATAGCGTGGCGTGCGGAGCGCGAGCACCTTCGCGCCCTGGCGGGAGGGTCCCTATGGGGTCACGAAGCGTGTGAAGGGTAAATCGAAACGGAGGGTAGGGCCGCGTGCGGGCGCTGCCACTTGGGCCTTCGGTGGGGCTCACTATCGGGCCACGGAACGTGTGAGGGGTGTGCCGAAATGGGATTGGAACTGCATGCGGGCGCTGCCACTGGGGCCTACGGTGGAGCTCCCTATTGGACCACGGAACGTGTGAGGGGTGTGCCGAAATGGGATTGGAACTGCATGCGGGCGCTGCCACTGGGGCCTTCGGTGGGGGTCCCTATCGGGCCACGGAACGTGTGAGGGGTGTGCCGAAATGGGACTGGAACTGCATGCGGGCGCTGCCACTGGGGCCTTCGGTGGAGCTCCGTGTCGGGCCACGGAACGTGTGAGGGGTGTGCCGAAATGGGAGAGCTCCCTATCGGGCCACGGAACGTGTGAGGTGTGTGCCGAAATGGGATTGGAACTGCATGCGGGCGCTGCCA